AAAAAAAAAAAAAAAAAAAATCCTGGGATGTTTTTTGGCTCGTCTGGTTTTGCCGGACGGACCCCCCCCAGTCCGTCTGGGCCGGTCCGTCTGGGCCGGACGTCGACTTAACCCAGGAAAACGGCGTTAGGACGAATCCTAAAGAATTTAGGATTCCCCAGGCAAATTCGTCCTAAATTTTTCAGTAGCCCCCGACCTACTGAAATTTTTAGGATTCCCGCGTTTGACGGAGTCGTGGCGACGTGCGCATGGCACCGTTCTCTAGGACTCCTGGTGCACCCTATTGGCTGAAACCCTGAAGCATGACTTTTTTTCTTTTATTTTTTTCTTTTTAATTACGACTTTCTTTTAGGACTGGTCCTAAACGATGATCTTTTAGGAATGCGTGTAACCACGACGCACGAAATCCTAAAAAACCTTTAGGACTGTCCTAAAAATTTTAGGATTCTTTTACGAGTGTCTAACGAGACCTATAGGTGGTTTCGGTGTCTAACAAATAATGATGTGTAAACGCGGCACCTGATGAACTGTTTTTTTTTTTTTTTTTTTTTCGTTATTGAAAAGTGGTGCTACTATGGGGATGCATTGGTTAATGGGGGTAATTTGGTAGTAGGGCTGGTAAGGCACATAGGTGGGTGTCAACTGTTTTTTTTACTTATTGAAAAGATATGGAGGTTTCCAGGGATGCATTGGTTAATGGGGGTAGGGGCCCTTTGGGGGGTACTAGCCTACTAGTGGCGGTACGGCACATGAGTGTTTTTCGATGTTTCCGTGTCTAGGAAATGATGATGTGTAAATGCGGTACATGGCAAACTGTTTTTTTTTTTTTTTTTTTCCTAATGAAAAGTGGTGCTCCCATTGGTTAATGGGGGTAGGCGGCCTAGGGGCCCTAGGGGGGGTGCTAGGGGCGGTACCAAATGACGGTGATGGTGGAGGCAGTACATGGTTAACTGTTTTTTTTTTCCTGTTTTGCCTAATGAAAAGTGGTGCTCCTATGGGGATGCATTGGTTAATGGGGGTAGGGGGCCTAGGGGCCCTAGGGGGGTGTTAGGGACGGTACCAACTGATGATA